GGTGCGTAAAAATGAATAAAGAGGCACGCTCGAAAATAGTGTGCACCTCTTGCAACGTAGTAGCACTGTGCAAGAACTGTTTCCAGCCCTACCACACCCTCAAGAAACATAGACTTTAGATACTGTTGTTCCTCCACTACTTTCAAACTATCCAATTTTTTACCTTTCTTATTTTATAACTGTTAATTTCGAAAAGTGTTTATAAATAAATATGTTAATAACAATGTTAACACAAATGTACATAAAAATGTTAATAAAACAAAAAACGTTGCCTAAAATAATCATCAATATGTTAAGTAAAATGTCAATAAAAATGAGTTATTGACTCTAGAATTCCGGCCGGGACATACCCTGTCCCGGGATTTAGATGCTTTGGGCTTACGGCGGGACATATGCTGTCCCATCAATGAAGCGTGTGAGATAATTGTTATTGATGGTGTGCTGTTATGGAGACGCGTAAGCGTCTCCAAGACCTTCAACCTTTTAGGTATAAAAGCTATTTAATCTAATAATCGCTTGGAAGAGAAATAATTGATCCCGTCAATGGGGAGCACTCGGTCTGATTTTTCGCCGCATTGAAAGGGTTAAAGACGTCCAAGATAACAACACAATAAAGTTTCTTTTCCAAAAAAAATTAGATAACAATCATTTTGCCAATGGGTAAATGGAGAAAATTGTGATCATCTTGAGGTGATCACAATTTTCTTCATTTTGTAGTGAATCGTATTTTATTTTATATCTATATTTTAAATTATTCAATGCTTAAACCATGTAGATTTATCTCACTTTTGCTAACACTTTAAAAAAAATTCCTGGCCGTGGTAACCATGGTTAATAAATGCGGTTTATAAACATTTTTACAGTTTGCTATAAAAACCACTGTAATTGTAATAATAAATTTAATCAATATTTTCATTGACTGCTTGCATTAAGAAAATGGAATTCCTAATCTGCCATATACTGTATCTAAAGGCCATTGGCCAGAAGTTGTAAAGAAAAGCTTAATGTCTCTAAAGCCGCTAATTTCGTCGGTTTACGAGGTATTTTGAAAGTGGTAGCATGATTGATGCTTGAAAATGTACTTTGTTGAACAGGCTCGTTTGTTGCTGCTTACATTGTTTACAGATTACGATTTGTTGCATTGAACAGCATCAGGGGTGAAAGCGAGACGGAAAGACTGGTAGTAAAACTATTTCAGTTATAGCTTATTTTCGGGAGGAGTTAAATTAATGTGTTTTTTTTTTCAAACTATGCAACAATATCTACTTTATCTTGAAAAAAAGCAGTTTGAGATGCCACTGATTTCAACAAAATGTTTGATTGCATCAACCTAGTTGAAGATGTTAATATCAGACCTTTGGCTCACTTTTTTACTTCTGATGTTATTCTCACACTTAAAAACATGCACTGAGTAAAAACCCACAGATTGTGGAAACCTTGTGAAAGAGCAACCCCTTGTGGGTTAATCCGAACAATTTTTAGTGTAGAGAGCAACCCNAGTGTTTGATTGCATCAACCTAGTTGAAGATGTTAATATCAGACCTTTGGCTCACTTTTTTACTTCTGATGTTATTCTCACACTTAAAAACATGCACTGAGTAAAACACACAGATTGTCGAAACCCTGTGAAAGAGCAACCCCTTGTGGGTTAATCCGAGCAATTTTTAGTGTAGAGAGCAACCCAACACGAGTGGTAATAACCTGTACGGTCGGGTCTCTACTTTAGCAGAGGTACACTTTTTCGTTAATGAATTTTTTTACGATCTTGTGGTTTCTCATCTTGAATTTTGCTAACTCTTCTCATATTTTGTAAATAGTTATTCTTCTTGTAAATATTGTTCCCCTACTTGCAAATATGTATTGTATTTTTCTATACATTCAATTATTTGTTTCTTATTACCATCGCAAAGTGCCATTCTTTTTTCTCTACCTTAACATGTGCCACTATTTGTTGCCATTATTTGTTGCGTAAGGGAGCTGTTTGAAGTATCGCTCGGGGAGCGACAATATCTTACGCCGGCAGTGAATGAGCGCAGAAAGTTTAAAAGCTTTTTCCATTTTTAATACCATTACAATTAAAAAAAGAATTCGAATATTAATGCTGCAATCCTATGAAAGTTTTCAAAGGTATTGAAACTAAACAAAAATATTAACTTCTCTTCTTTATTTTAGTCGATTCGAATTTTTCTCGGGTAAAAATTTTTATCATTTCTGAAAACTTCAAGGATATGCTTTCAAATGGTGCCAACAGTTTTTGCCGAATAAAATCTTCCAAAACAGTCGGGACCGAAATAGGGATTGCTTACATAGAGTTTCGTTGCGTAGAGGAAGCGTTTCATTCTTTTCGTTCAACCCATAGACTTATAAGAAGCGTGACAACTACCACGCTTTTTGCCAAATATTTTAGAGAGAGGTGGACATTTAAAAACCAAAGCTCTAAGAATTTTTGATAATTTTGTTAAAATTTTAAGAAGCTTTACGACGTCTGATCGAGAACAAAGTGTGGGTGCATATGAACTTTTGAACCATTTATGAGTAGTGGTGTAGAAAATAAGTTTGAATGAATGAAAAATAATACATTAAAATCTAAGCATAGCTACAACTAGAATAAATTTTTACAAAAAGTGAAGAAAAAGGGCATCCCAGTTATAACATAGGTAAACTGCGTACTGCTTACGCACGCGGAAACCAGCAACCCCGTCACGTGACTCGTTGACTGGTTCACCCCTTTTCTGGTTTACTCGTTGAACGATTCATTCCTCTACCGGTTCATCGCACAATGTTATTTCTACCAAGAAACTTTTCCTTTTTCCTAATTTATAATCAGACAATGAAATAAAAATCTCTAAATACTTGTAATTTTTTTATTATTTTAATTAAAAATGGTTGAAAAATTTTTGAAATGTAAGGTATACAATTTTTTGCATCATTTTAAGGAATTTAATTTTGCATGTCAAAATACAAAATTTGAGCAAAATCGGTCGAACTGTTTCTGAGAAATTAAATTTCGAGAAAGTCATAATCTTAAAAATTTGATTTCTCAGGAACTATTAGATCGATTTCATTCCAATTTTGTATTCTGCCATATAAAATTACATACTTTAAAATGATACAAAAAAATTTGTTCTTTTCGATTCAATTCTTTTTTTACCATTCTTAAGTAAAGTAATAAATAGTTATTTTTTGCATGGAAATATTTTTGAATAAACGAATGCAATTGTGAGCAAAAATTTTTTAATTCGCTTAAAAATTTCTCGAGATATAGCATAATACGCAAAAAATAAAACTAACAATAAAGGGTCCAAACTTTGGAGAGCTCTTCTGACCAAACTATTGGGAACCTATTTCTGAGATTGCAGCTAACCCTTATATTTTGTAAATCTATATTTTTTATTGTCGAAAAATTGTATGTTTACTCAGAGAAAGTACGTTTTTGTGTCTGATTTCGTCACTTAATTAATAGTCTGCACTGATTAATTGGCATATTTGTGGTCACCTCTCAAACTATTAAGAATGAGTCCTAGAACGTGAAAATCCGATCATTAGATCAAAAGTTATTCAGGGTGGTCAGTTTTTTTGACGCTCAATGCAAAGATATTTAGGCTCCTGTAATCATTACAATCACAGTTTAAAAGAATTTGGACATCGTAAAGATACATTCAAGATTATGGAGGGATTGTATCTGCCATCTCCACGCTACAGCACTCGTTCACTCGGTCCATTGGGCTGATATACGTAGTGTCACGTATGACACTTCAGAATATTTAAATTCTAGAATTGAATTTTGTATGCCATAAATTAATTTTGTTCAATTGAATAAGTTCGAATGTAATTCTTTCTTGTCTTTATTCCGTCATGCCTGAATTATTCCGCTTACTATTAATTTCAATTTTATTTTTTAATAATTGTTAAATTTCATAAGATTGTGAATTTGAGTATTTTTCAGTTTTACAATATTATGCTTAGAAGATTATTAACGATCGTAACTCTAAATACGCCAACGGAGGAGAACAGATACTATGCTTGGAAGGCCCTTCACTTTGCATGCGAAAAATTCGCTGATGCGAAATCGGACCTGCGAGCAAGAATGGGATTGACGAGTTTTCGTGTTATATTTTACCAATCAGTCGGGTTTTCATTAGCATCTTCAAAATCGCATCTGCGATTTTTGAGAACGGTCCCTAAAACTTCTCGCTTATTTTTTAGCTCCTTCTGTTTAGTTGTATCAGGTTGAAAACGTATTAGATTTTATCATATTCAAAATTAATCGGTTTCAGAAATCAAGATCGAAACTTACGTAACTCCTACTCATAACATTATGCTAATCATGAGAACATGCAATTTTTATAAATCATTAACATTACGTTACAGAACAGCATTTGTGTTCCGGCAACATTTACAGCATTTAGTAAAAGTTAACATTATTTTTTTAATGGATGGTTGACTGAATTTAAGCAATAACAAGCTTTTAAAACCGGAAGAAATTAAAAAAAACTTATACCCTTCCGGTTATGTGTGAACAGGCTTAATTTTCTAGGAAGTTTTAATTTTTGGATTTTTTTATTTATAAAACTTACGTGTAATTTCACCATTTATAAGAGTTGTCTGCAATTTATAAATTCTTACAGGTTGTGAGCCTAAAAAAGTTTCAAAAAATTCATATCACAGTATAAATAAAGTTTAAGGTTTGCAATGTTTGGAGTGTTATTCCTGATTTGGCAATATTTGTGTAAAGTAGCGCTGTTTGTTATTTTTTTAGTAGCATCAAAGCAAGCTTGCGGAGTCTTCGAAATTCATTTTTTGCTTGTTTCGTTGAAAGTTAGATTGAAAGAAGTCGTTGCATTGTTAACACTACAAGAATAACATTAGATGGTGCGTTTTTTCAAGCTTAGGCATAAAAATCTGCCGGAAGTAGTAACCCGGAAGTCTTATCATGAATTTTAACCCCTAGCGTCATCTGCATTTATATTCACGCAGTTGCTAATTATTTAAAAAATCGACGGTTACAAATTATTTTTATTCTTAATGGGATCATCTAAATCTGGCAACTGGAGTTCACCTCTTGTTTGTTTGTGTTTCATAATGCCGTTTGCCGACAACTTTAAACTTTTCTAAATTTTTAATCAATTTTAAGAGTTTAAGTTCTTCTCAGGAAAAAAGCTTTCGAAATGTTTGGGAGTAGACTTGCAAGAAGATATGCGTTTGACGCTTACAAGAGGTAGTGTCATTTTGATTTTTTTTATGTAATGCAAAGGTGATGAAATTCACTTGAAATATAAGCAACCCCGAATGACTTTTAAATAAAGGGAATTTTTTATAAAATAACTTTAATTTTCTTTTTATATCTTGCTTAATATTTTTTACTGATATCTTGTATGATTTGTCTTAAGTGTTTTTAATTTAAATTTATTTTAATGCTATTGTGGGGGTTAAAAATTCCTTCTTTATTAATAATATTTTTTTACAAATTATACAGCCGGAAAAGGCATTGAAAGTTCAGAAAAATAGCTTTTTTTTAAGAATTTATATATTATTGATGAATAAAATTATATATTGTTAACTTCTAGCTATGGGATATTCTTTCAGTTTGTTAACATTTACATCCTTAAGCAATATTTCGCATTAATATATTCATTTTCATTATATAATATTTTATTTTACTTAATATACTCATAAGGAGTAAAATGAATATGCAACTTTAGTATTTAAAAAATATTTTTGTTGTGTTGTTGTTTCTAATGCCACTTTCCATTGTCAAGGAGCCTGCTTGGTAAAACTAAGTGAATTTAAGGCAGAGGGGGCGTTTCTTGTTTTTCAGGAACGTCATCAATGGCCAATAATAAGACTTCAGCCCCACACAGATCAAAGCCTGTTTATAGTTCGAACCTATTCAAACATCCAATGATTCATCTAAAGATCATAATTTTGACCTGAACCAGAGAATGATCAATCACATATTTAGTACCCCCAGAGGTATGATTTGTTATGGGAACATGGAGGACTTTGTGTCCCGACAGATTTAACAAGCACCAGCCACCATTTACTACTCTGGGAGTCTTCGACCTGTAAAAGCCTTTAAACAATACGACAATGATTAAATTTTTCCATGCAAATAAAATTTAAAATTACGTGTATTTTCTTAAAGAAAATTTGCATGTTTAACATCCATATTAGACTCCTTGGCAATTGTCCTTGGTGTACTAGAACAAGTTACAGAAAGAATCCCCCCCCCCNGTTACAGAAAGAACCCCCCCCCCCCAAAATAACCTGGAACTTATGTTAAAGACCAAACATATCACACAATTTTTTCGTTTTTTTCTCACTATTATTTGTTAGCTTTCATATTTAAGTTTGAAATAAATTTATTCAACTGTAAGTTTAGAAACAAAGGTGGGTGTTAATTTGTAAAATATGAGTAAACAAGTTCTTAGAAAGATTTTTTTGTTATTCTGCAAAATTTAAATCTCAACAGACCTAAATTAAGGGAAAAACTTCAACAAACAACAAATCTCAATGAAAAACACTTTCTGTCTGCAATTGATTAACTCTTGTAATAAGTTTTAAATTCATCACCATATGATTTTGGCAAAATTTGTTTGTTAATCAGTGATTTTTTAAAAAAATATTAAAATTTTTATTAAACTTTATAATGATTATTGAACATTCCAGCATGCCTGAAATAGAAATTCAGTGACGTAATCTTAGGAAAAGCATAGCTGCACAAAACAAAGAAGGAAATTATCATGTTTGCCTTTGTCAGATTACCATGTAGTTTAAAATAAGGGAATTTTGACCTTTTTTTAATGAGCAATGCTAAAAAATTTTCTGGAATGTTGAAAAATTTTGACTGTGTGGTAAAATAGGGAATTTCAACAATTTCTTTTTATAATGAGTTAAACTAAAAAAAATTTTCGCAATGGGAACAAATTTTCCTCAAATGGCATTCCTGTGTTCGTGTATATTATTCCATATCTAAATCATAAATAAATTAAAACTTTTAAAATATTTTGAAAAACTTAGTCTAATTGCAAAATAAATAAATATTTCATTAATATTTTATTACTAATTACTTTTAATATAAATTTTCTAGATTTTTTTTTTATCTTACCTCTTTTTAAAAAAATTAAATCCCATCACTCTTTTTGAAAATAATTGATCAATTATGGTTCATTTGTAATAATTAGGCATGTAAAACTTACATAATGATTTGATTAATGCTTTCCATAATATTTTTATATATTTTAGGTATAAAAATTTTACACAATGCTTGAACTACTCCAGTATTTCTACTAAATTCAAACCAGACAATTCAATATTAGGATACTCAGTCAAGAAAGTAAGCTTTCATTACTACTTAATGTGTTTGTAAATGTAAATTTATCAATTTAAACAATACTTGTTGTTGTTTTCTTAGTAACTGAAATAAACAGCTTTTATTACTGAAAGGTAAAAGTAGTTGTCATAGATTTTTGATCATAGATGTCATTATAGTCAGGGGTCTGTCCAAGCCAAATTTATTATGGTTTAGCGGTACCTTCACAAATTCAACTCCAGGCTTTTTCTTAAAACTTTATTTTTGTGTCCCGTAAGAAAGGATAAATCCATATTTTTTACCATATTTCTGTGTTGATTTTTTAATATGATTTTAATTTTCACAAATTACGTCTAAATTTTCACATAAAATAGGTACCTCTCAGAAAAACCTAGACAGACCTCTGATAGTAGAAGCCTTATATGAAAGTGATTTAATAAAAGTTGGTGTATTTAATTTTCTAACAGTATGTTTTTTTTTGTGTTATTTTTGAATGATTTTATGTTATTAATTATTAAAAATATGTAAAATGTCATTAAAAATTTATTTACTTTACAGGTTGAAGAAATATCTGAACTTAATTTAACCGCTATTCTATTAGAGCATAAGTCAACTGGTGCTGAGCATTTGCATCTTGCTTGTGATGATTCAAACAATGTCTTTAGGTATGAAATATTTAGGTTTAAGTAACTTCCTGAAATTTGTTATTGTACAGTTACATAGTTAGAATAAAATGTGATTGTACTTTTAAAAAAATTATTATAAAATCATGAATCTTTTGATAATTATTGATAGTTAAATACTAGAAGTTGCTACATTGTTGAAGCTTTTACCTTATAATGATATGAAGTACTTCTTTCATTTTATTCCCTTGAAGTTGGTCATTTTATTGCATGTATGACGAAATTTTGTTCTATAGTTAGTGAAACAAAAAAAAATCTTCTGACTGAATAAGGGTTAACTCGATCAAATTTGAATAAATGTTGATTTTTATATTTCATTGATGCTTCAGAAAAATTTTGCTGTAATCTCACATATCTGAAGTTCTTAGCAACACCAGTGAACAGCAACACAATAGTATTAAGTGAATAAAATTTTTTTTACTAAATACGAAACAAATGAAAGAGGAACGTTCACTAAACGAAATTTCAATGTATGCTGATTTTTATATCTTGTTGATACTTCAGATATCTTGGTTCACATGTCTAAAATTCTCAGCCACACCAATAACATTGCAGTTTAGTGTTTGTTAATTTACATTTCAAGTAACATGTTCATGCACTGATGAGATTTTTTTGCTTTCTGACAGATTTCCTTTTTTTTAATGCTCCTTCTCCTGCATAATTCTGCTTTATTTAAACTGAAATTCAGTGGCATGGCAGTCCATAGAGCGCAGAGGCTTACTGTGCCCATCTTAGTTTTCTTGACTTAGGGCTCTGGGATGCAGGAGCAGTTGTTCCAAATGGGTAGTCAGCCAAGCGGAACCACCAGCGTTTAGTTCCGAAGCATGCTTGGTACTTATTTTATCGCCCCACTGAAGAAATGGAAGGCTGAGTCAGCCTTACACGGTCCGAGGATCAAACCCAGAACCAGTTGCACCGTAGTGCGAAGTGCTACCATTCAGCCACCGCTCGACAGCTTTACTTGGAAAAATCAAATATTTTTATTTGAAATAGGTCAATAAATAAATATAAGAAAGTAAAGCCAAGTGTGTTAAAAGGCTATTTTTAAAACAAACATTTGGCAGAGGTTCCGTAAAAAAAGGTTAAGTTCATAGCGGCATCAATATATTACTTATTTTAAAATCCAATAAACTTAGTGAGACTGATTTTGTTTTTATGTGTGTGTGTCTTAGTGATACCGAATTTATTTTTTTCAGTGTGTCATTTAGAACGCCCGTCAGTAACAGTAGTGGTGTCCCACACATTCTTGAACATCTTGCATTGTGTGGATCCCTGAAATATCCCTGCAGAGATCCTTTTTTCAATTTGTTGAACAGATCATTGTCTACATTTATGAACGCTATGACAGGTAGAAACTGTTTCTTTCTTGGTAATTAGGCACATTTTAAAACAAACAATTCAATTAATGTATTATTGAATTGTTGTTAATGTATCACCTTGCTATATAAGTGTTGTGCATTTGTATTTTTTATCTAAGAAAAAATTATTTTTTTTAAAGTTTTGGAAAATTTTTGGATATTTATGTGGTATTATTTTCATATCCATATATATGTTTCCAATTATTTAAACGTTATGTATCATAAGGTTGTTCTTGGAAGGCTATGTAGCATATAAAAAGCGGATTTTTAGCTGATAATCTGCTATTTGCGAGTGTGTAACAGTTATTCAGGACTGTTTAGTTATGCTTTGCCTGTGTTTAACCATCTCACTCTAAGCTAAATGCGAAATGTTAATAGGAAGAAAAGCTACAGTTTTGTGAAAATATTGAATAGTGTTTGTAAAAAAATTTTGTCTTTTCTGTTTATTGCTTGGGTTCACAAAAAATGCAAAAATTGTGAATTATTCATTGATTGTAAAGATTTTTATGTACCTATAAAAATCTAGCCAAATTAGTGTTTTTATAACAAGGTAAATAATAGTTTAAATATTAAAATCTATTTGTTCATTTTTTAAAAGCCAAATAGATAAAATATATTGTAAAATATAAATTGTATTGTAATTATATAAAGATACTTAAACTGTGGCTTTTTAATATTCTTGACCAAAGAGCTTAGAAAAGTACCTGTTGGGATAGTAGTTATTGTCAATGTCAACCTTCATCTATGAAAAGGTACCCCAACAAAGAATAGAGTTAACATATCTTATATACTAGGGAATTGGAATTATATTTTTGTAGTGGTGGATACACCACACCACAATACTTCCCGACCAGAATTTTTCTATGATAGAAATTCGATGAACGAATACCACTAGTTGGTTCATGGCTGTTTCGTGAGATGCTGGGAGAGCAGTATCAAGATGTCAACCTTCATCTATGAAAAGGTACCCCAATATAGAATCAAGTTAACATATCTTATATACTAGGGAATTGGAATTGTATTTTTGTTGTGTTAGATATATACACTACACACCTTTAAACTGAAGTGTACTCCTATATAAAATGTATTTCTTTTTAGCATTTTTCTTTAGAATTTAAGTTCATATGATAAATAGTTTCAAGTATTTATTATTTTGCTGAGAAGAATATACATTTTGGGTAAAAAGAGAAAAAAATGGTTTCTGTTATTGAGTTCATTAGTTAGGTACAATTTTGCATGACTAAAATTGGATTTTTCTTTTAAAACTTTCTTTGCAACAAATACATACTCATAATAAATGCTTTTTGCATTAATTAAAGAAAAATCGCTTTGATACAAATTTAAATGTTAAGTCTTAGAAGTATTTATTTAGTTATTTTTCAATTTTAGTAATTTTCCAGTTACTACTTTACAGCACATACCTGTAGAGGACACTATACCATGGGCGAAACTTTTCTTGACAAAATTTGTTTAACCGCCATTGGTGTTTTAAAATTTAATGTTTTAAAAAAGTGGACTGAGGTAAACCACAAAGTTTCAAATGCTGGTAAAAATGCTTTCAAAATTTAGAAAAGAAAACAAATTATTACAATATAATATCCCCAATAAATAACTTTAAGTAATCCCAGGTTAAAGAGAAGATCGAGAAGGGCTGGTTCATTTTTTACTGAAACAGATTGAATGCAGAACTGATTCCCCACCTCATGACGTCACCCCACACACAGATCTCAAAAATCAAAACTTGAGGATATGAAAACAATGCTGTTTATCCTTTCTGTAATGCCTGTCAAACTTTACACTGTTAACAAACAATTTCTGTTCAAAATTATAGTATTCTTACATTTTCTTGGTATTCCTTATAGTATTAAAAAATAACATTTTACAGTCAGAAAAATTTCTCAATGGTTGTCGTCACAGTTTCATTATTGTTTTCTAGTTTTAGTTTTTAACTTTTGCTGTGAAATAAAAGAGAGCATATAAAGGTACTTTTATACTTACATATTGTTCGATATCAATAGTTTATTTATTGGGCTGTTTAATTTTAATATATATGTATGCATATATATTTTTTTAATACATTATCATTAAAAAACAACCTTAAATGCTATTTACTAAAAAAAATCTTTGAGCTTATAATAATAGAAATATTGCGCATAATTATATAAAATTAAGGTGTTATAATTAAAACACATAAATACCAACCAATCCCAAATTTGCTCAAAGTTATAAGTCCTGTCCACACATTAACCTTAAAACTCTGATTTGTCTGAATATCAAATTTTTGAATTTCTTTGGTTCTGTCGGCATCAAATAATTGGAGTTCTGTTGTGCTACTGTGTTGACTTATTCAGATTCTTTCTTATTTTTCTCTCTATTCTTTCTAATTATTTTATTCTTTCAAATTTTTATTTTTAGGTGATGACAGTACAATGTATGTTTTCTCTACTCAAAATGTTAAAGATTTTGGAAATCTTTTATCAGTGTACTTAGATGCAGCATTTTTCCCTTTGTTAAATGAAATGGATTTCAGGTAACCAATATTGTTTAAAGAAGAAATTTAAAAAAAAAAAATTCTTACTTTAAATTTTTTGTTAAAATTATTATTAATTCTTAATAAATCTAGCTAATGCTTGACAATTTAATCCTCTGTGCCCAAATATGTATATATATATATATGTATATATATATATGTATATATATATGTATATATATACAGTACAGAACCCGTTATCCGGAAATCAGAAAACCGGAAAACCAAAAAACCGGAACGAAATTCGATAAATTTTCCCACCATTATAAAAAAAAATTTTTTTTTTCCTTATAAAATTTTAGGATTTTTCGTTCTTTTTTGAAAGACGTTTACCTTACCATCATTTTGGAAATAATCATTAGTGTATTGCTCCATCGTTTTTTCTTCTTTTTAAGATTATTTCCAAAAAAAATTTTTTTTTAGTTGTGTTTAACAATAAAAAAACGGCTTTTTGTAGCGATTCAGAAAACCGGAAAAATCAGTTATCCGGAATAGCGATGGTCCCGATCGTTCCGGATAATCGGTTCCCTACT